AAATTCCGATAAAGTCGTTGTTTTCGGTACGGTTTGTGATATGATCCTGATTGTTTGCATTATGTAGTTGAATATGTGTGATGTTTCTGAGATGGATTCTATGTTGTTTGTACTCTGAATATGTGAAAAAAATGCAGTAAACTGAATTTTTTTTACACTGAAGGCGTGTAATCTGAATTTGACACTCAAATTGCTATGTGCAAATTGTGTGCTGAATTTTTAGGGAGAATGAGTAGCTCTATGTCTAATGTGTTAACCTTCTGTACTTTTATTGTACTGATTTAGTTTTGAATAGTATATTTTGTTCATTACATTTGATGTACACTGCTTATTGAATTTGTATTATTTTAACAATGCAGGTGATTTTGATGGGTTGTTTACTGTTGAGATACACCACAATGGGTTTTTCTGTGGGAGTGAGAGCAACAAGACTTACAAGGATTATGAGGTTGACTGGTTTGACATGTGTGAGAGTGACACATGGTCAATGCTATGGATCAAGGACTTTTTTTCACAACTAGGATATGGCATGGCAGCCTCCAAAATAGATGTGTATTGGTGCCAACCAGGGAAGACAATTGCTGATGGCCTTAAGCTTCTGACTTGTGATGCAGATATGGTGCTGATGATTACTACAACAGTAGAGCACAAGAACCTAGTGCTTGTAGTAGATCATGGTGAAACCCCGCAGTCAACAGATGATGATGTTTTGATTACTGGAGTGACAGAACTGTCGAAGGTCATTACTCCCACAAAACCCAATGGAAAAGAAAATGTTAGCTGGTCAGAGAAAGGAAATAATCCAAGAAAGGAGGTACCAAGGAAATCAAAGAGGAGGATGTCATATGGTGAAGGATCAAGTTCAGGGTTTGAAGTTGAAGTGGAGGAGGAATGTGAGGATGATAGTGAGAGCAATGAAGAAGAAGGTGATGTTGAAGAAGAGTTGACAGATGAGGATTTTTATGAGAGTGACTATGATGTTAAAGATGGCGATGATGACTTGTTTGAGGAAAACGTTGACAAAGATGTAGATGATCACAGAGAAAAGAATGAATTTGCTGACTATGAAGCAGAACTTCCAGAAGATGCATTGGAGGACAGTCATTTGAATATGTCAACAGCAGAGAAAGAGAAGCTGAAGCATAAATTCAGTGTTTTCAACCCTAGCACAGACCTAAATGCACCAGTGTTTAAGCTTGGGATGGTATTTGCAAACATGATAGAGCTCAGACATGCTCTCAATGCATACAGTGTCAGAAATAGAGTGAAGGTGAGGAAACTCAGAAATACTAACAAGTCATTAGAGGCTATATGCAAGGATGACTGTACTTGGTATTTGAAGGCAGGCAAAGACAACAGATCTAGCAGTATTCAGATCAAGAAGTATACTGACAAGCACATGTGCACAAAAGCTTGGGACCTGAAAGTTCTTACAGCTCCATTTCTTACTAAACAGTTTAAAGAAGAGTTCAGAGACAATGAGAAAATGCCCTTAAGGAAATTTTCAGAGAAGGTGGAACAAGAATTTAACTTAGTGGCTCACAAGAATAAGTTGGGAAGGGCAAGAAGAGCAGCTGTGAAACAAATCAGGGGAGAAGATGATGATCAGTACAACACTTTGTGGGACTATGGGCAGGAGCTGAGAAGGAGCAATCCAGGGAGTGAATTCTTCTTATGCACAAAGGAGGTTTTTGATGGGAAAACAAAGATGACAAAGGACCACTTCTCAACATTATACTGGTCTTATGATGCTTGTAAGAGAGGGTTTTTGAAGGGCTGCAGACCAATAATTTTTCTTGATGGATGCCACATCAAAACAAGATATAAGGGAAATATACTCACAGCAGTTGGGATTGATGCAAATGATTGTATCTTCCCTATAGCATTTGGCATATGTGAAGTGGAGTCAACACACAGTTGGGAGTGGTTTCTATCCTCTTTGAAGGACGACATTAATATAACAAACACTTCACCCTTCACCATTATGAGTGACAAGCAGAAGGTGAGATATAGTTTCTTTGTTCTTTTTCTTTGCATAATGTTCTATTCCAACAAGGTTCTTTTTTAGGGCTGCAGACCAATAATTTTTTCTGTTGTTTTGTAGGGTTTGATAAATGCAGTGCAGAAAGTTTTCCCTCATGCAGAACATAGGAACTGTGTTAGGCACATTTACCAAAATTTCCACAAAGTGCATAAGGGTGAACAACTCAAGAATGACCTCTGGGCCATAGCAAGATCCACTAATGAAGCTGCCTACAACAGAAACATGGATCAGATGAAAGATCGCAGCTTTGCAGCATTCTGTTGGGTTGAGAAGTTGTCCCCAAGAACTTGGATCAAAGCTTTCTTTGATCCTTTTTGCAAGTGTGATATATTGCTAAATAACATGTCTGAAGTGTTCAACAGGTTAGTTTAATTGATTGCAAGTATGATATATTGCTTCATTTCTGTTACATATGCTTCCATTGATTGTGTCGACACATTTTATGCAAATATGCAGGTATATTTTGGATGGTAGAAAATTGCCAATTAAATCAATGTTGGATTACATATTCTGGAAGATAACAAACATAATTGTTGGTAAGCAAAGGGAGGCAGCAAAGTGGACAGGCAGGCTTTGCCCGAAGATACAGAAGAAACTGGACAAGTATGTGGAGTGGGCAAAAAACTCCAGGGTGAGGGAGTATGGAAGAGGTGTATTTCAAGTTATCTCATTGAATAACACATACATTGTTGAACTGAACATGCACAGCTGTAACTGCAAAAGGTGGGAACTATCTGGGATACCTTGCCATCATGCAATTGCTTGTTTTAGGCATGAGAGAATTGAGCCAGAGAGCATGGTGCATTCATGCTACACTGTTGAGGAGTACAAGAAGTGTTATGGCTTCAACATGATGCCAATGAGGGATCCAAAGCAATGGGAAAAGATGCATGGCATTCCAGTTCATCCACCAATATACACCAAAGTAATGGGCAGGCCAAAGAAAAATAGGAAAAAAGATCCAGAGGAGAAGAAAGATCAGAAAGGAGTGAAGAAGTTGACCAAGCATGGTGTCACTATGCATTGCTCTGTTTGTGGGGCTGCTGATCATAACAAGAAAGGTCACCACAAACATGTCAATCAACCACCTACTGAGCAAGCACCTGAGGAATCAGAAGAAGATGATGATCCTAGCATAATTGCTGTAAGTTTCTTACAACTTTGGTTAACTTCCACCTTTTCTCCTGCATGCACTACATTGATAAATTGCTTGTACTTCTGTAGAACATTATGCCACACAGAGTGTACCCACAGCTTGATCCAACACAAACTCCAGACTCCATGGTTTATAAGATGCAGCAAAGTGTACAATATTTACAACTCCCCCCTTTGTCTTATTTTGGTAAATTGCTTACTGTATTTACTTTCTGACTTTATATGTTTACTGTATTTATTCCTTGGACAGGAAAAATTCACATACCCAACTCCTATGGAATTTGGTCCCTTGCCTAAGTCTAGCTTCATTGCGAATGCTAGAGAGACAATCCTTGTAGGCAGGGTGACAACTGCAATGACAAGGGGCAGCGTGAGGAGTGCAACTACTACAGCAAGCAAGGCTCTGCCCAAAGGGGAGGCAATAATGCAAGAAGAGGGAGAGGGGTAAGAGGAAGCAATGGTGGAAGAAGAGGAGGCAATGTAACAAGAGGAGGCAATAATGCAGGAAGAGGAAGAGGGAATGTTTCAACAGCTGCAACAGGAAGCACTGTTGCAACTGGAAGCAATCCTCCGAGAGGAGCAAGGGCTGTTGCTCCAGGATTTTACAACTTGCTGTTTGGACCGGATGGAGTTGTGAACCAAGAACCACCTCTTTTTATGCAAGCTGAAGAGGAGGTAATTGTGAGCCAAAATGCACCACAAGTTGCTCTGTTTCGTGAAGGCTGGCCTGATGACATGCATGACTTCTTGTCTTTGTAATTTTCATGACCATGTGATGAAGTTCATGAATGAACTTTTGGTAGGCATAGTTCATCAATGAACTACTCCTTGATGGGGTTAAGCACTGCTCCTTTTGATCCTATATTTATGTTATGAAGACAAATGAACTTGTAGTTTCGAGCAATATCTATTCGAGGACCTCTATCTATTCCTGTTAATTATGGATGATATTTTGTTTGGAGTTATATCTACATCTTTTCATGGTTGCTGTGTGTACAATCTTCATGAGAGTTTCAGATTTTTGTCATAATTTCATGGTTCAATTCTGTCCAAAACTGTGCAAAAATTCAGTACTGAACTTTGCAAAATTTATGTAAAGAAATGTGCAATATTTCAGTAGAAAACTGTGCAAAAATTCAGTACTGAACTTTGCAAATTTTGTGTACAAAACTGTGCAATAATTCAGTAGAAAACTATGCCAAAATTTCAGTACTGAACTTTGCGAAATTTCTGTACAAAACTGTGCAATAATTCAGTACAAAACTGTGCCAAAATTTCAATACTGAACTTTGCAGAAATTCAGTAGAAAACTGTGCAGAAATTCAGTACTGAACTTTACAAAAATTCAGTAGAAAACTGTGCAGAAATTTAGTACAAAACTGTGCCAAAATTTCAGTACTGAACTTGGCAAAAATTCAGTAGAAAACTGTGCAGAAATTCAGTACTTCCAAAAAAAAAGAGGCCTGGGATTCGAACCCAAGACCTGTCAATACTAGTTCACACCTAATAACCAGTTGGGTTACGACCGGATTCTACTCATGTTTTACGCCCATCTCTTTTCTATAGTAATATCTCTTATCTCTCTCTTTAGCTCCGGCGACCGTACGCCTCTCAGACAGATGAGCCACCAGCAGCTAGACCCGTGACTACTCCCGCCATCAGCAGCTCCTTCCCGCCAAGGTTATGTTGGGGCCACTGTAAGCAGGGACTTTTTACGTGAATGAATATTCTCCGAGGGGGATCCATGCAAAAAAAACATGCGTGGGTGGTTCCAAAACGTCTTCGGTCACTGGCAGTGGCCTCATGCAGACGTGGCATGCCATGCGAGCACCGAATACGCCTGTAGTGACCGTATCTGCACCAAATCGCAAGTTAGCTGACAAAAAGACGTATTTTACAAGTTGTAGCACTAAACTGCACATCCAATGCAAGTTTAGTGACTACCGGTAATATTACCTCTTAGAAAAAAGAAATCAACTCTTTGATTGGAAGGAGGACCGGTTCAGATTTTTCTTCTCCTCCAATCAGCTTGTACCTAGGTTGCGATACACCTTCTAATATGACTTATACACCTAGACGAAGGGAGTAGTCAACTTCCCACTCCACGAGCTGGTCTAATATAGTAGTGCCTTAGATCAATGAAAAATGTGGATTACTGGTATGGAGCACATGCATAACTAAAGCATTTTTCAACGTTTCCTCTCTGTTGTGTGATGTACTCTCCAATTTGCTACAAATGACATATTTGTGCGCTTCTTAACTTCCCTACAGTGAAATGTGTTCTTGTAAGAGTGGCTGAACTACTGAGTTGGAATGACGACGATATTGTTTTTCTTCATCTCTACTATTTGTGCATCTATTGTCACCTATAGAGGAGCTGACGTGGCGACACCCATCTTTATCTTACAGTAATTACTTAAAAGGATGTGTATCTCCCGAACTCAAATCGCAAAATGACAATGATTTTGATAGTCTGTACTATTAAATTACTTTGTACAAATGCACATCTCGGCCGTCGGGTAGCTCATCAGTTCTTTTTGGTTTGGACACATTTTTAAGCTTTTGGATCAACATTTAACCATGTTTATCTTACACAGTTGCACATGTTAGATAAGTGCAGTTTTAGATGTAGCAATATACAAATTCAGGTGAGAGCAATTCACAAAAAAAATCTAGGTGACCTACGGAACTGAAAAAATGGTGAATATAAAAGGTGTTTATTATCCTCGAGAAGAAAACAATGACATCCAAATAACATACTCCCTCCGTCTGAAATTACTTGTCATGAACATGGATAGAAATGAATGTATTTAGAACTAAAATACATCCATTCTCGCGACAAGTAATTCCAGACAGAGGGAGTATTTAATTTGCTCCCAAATTATGAAAAATTAAAAAGAGGAAAAGAGACTAGCTAACTAGCTAGCCCATCTGATCGTTCTATAGGAAAGAAAGGAAAAAAAGTAATGTAATGACTCTAGAGAGGCGAGCATGAGAAGAAATGTCGTCGATCAGCTAGCTACACGAAACTTATTATTCTTAGAGAGAAATTGGTTGGGATGATGAAATGTCATCGATGAGCTAGCTACTAAAAATGGCGCACTTGACCTTTCGATGAGCTAGCTATTAAATTTTGCATCCTTGAATTCCTATCAGTGATGTCATTACAAATGGTAGTGGTTGGCAGTTGATCCTTGGTGGCTTGTTGTGTCTAAATATTTGGGTGTATCTATGGATGTCTTACTTAAAAGGATTTCTTCATGTCTTGTACTCTGACATGTTTTGTATTATCTTGTACCTTGTCTAAATGGATAGGAAACTTTGTTTGATATTGCATTGTACCTTATCTAATTGGAGATAAAACTTTGTTTAAATTTTGTCACAAAAATAATTTACTTCAACATACTACTCTAAGTTCTCTCATTTTCTTCAATTATCTTCTATACAAGGAAGTTATTTCAAATAGTCAACTTCACACTCCACGAGCTGGTATAATATAGTAATGCCTTAGATAAATGGAAAATGTGCATTACTGGTATGGAGCACATTCATAACTTGAGCATTTTTTAATGTTTCCTCTATGTTATGTGATGTACTCTCCAATTTGCTACAAATGACATATTTGTGCTCTTCTTCTCGAAAATGCCAAATGGAGGTTGGGCTCCATCAGTGCCTTAATTTGAAAAGTTCAAAATTCAAACTTTTAACTTTTAATAAAATCTAAAAATATACACATATACCTAGACACATAATGTACATGTGTGTAAATTTTCAGGTCAAAATATGTTAAATGAGAGCTACAAAAAAATGATAAATTTATGGCTTTTTAGGATATGTATTGTTCATCCTCGTTTGTGCAGCTCACAATTCAAGGTATTTCATTCTGAAATTTTACACACGTAGAAATTTAGGTGACAGCAATTAATTCACACAAAAAATCTGGGTAACCTATAGAACTAAAAGAAATGGTGAATATAAAAGGTGTTATTATTCTCGAGAAGAAAACAATGCCATCCCAATATATAACGTATTTAATTCGCCCCCAGATTATGAAAAACTAAAAAGAGGAAAAGAGACTGGCTAATAACTAGCTAGCCCATCTGATCGTTCTATAGAAAAGAAAATGTAATGACTCTACATAGAGGGGAGCACGAGAAGAAATGTCATCGATGAGCTAGCTACATATATGAACCTTATTATTCTTAGAGAGAAAACTGGTTGGCATGAAGAGATGTCATGGATGAGCTAGCTACTAAAAACGGCGCACTTGACCTTTCTGAAGGTGGCCGGCGACGTGGCCGTTGAGAGAGGCAACTCGAGCGGGCAGAGCGCGTCGAGCCTATGCAGGTGTTGGCCCGGCGGGTACCTGAGCTCCCCGACAACCTTGAGCTCCAGCCGGAACACCCCCGCCGTGCTCTCCCTGACGAACTCGGCCACCCCGGCGCTCCCGAGCGCGACGCCCGCCCTGTCGGCCGCCGCGACGGCGCGGTACGCCTCCGAGTTGCCCGCCCGGACCGCGGCCCCCTTGCCGGCCAGCTCGACGCGGGCGAAGCGCGCGCCGGCGAAGAGCAGCTCGGCGTCGAGCGGCGCGGTGTGCTGGGCGCGCCGGAGCCAGTGGTGGTTGTGCAGGGCGACGGCGAGCGAGACGTCGTAGGCGAGCGCGGTGGCCGTGGCGTTGCGGCCGGTGAGGGCGAGGCGGGCGAGGGCGGCGTCCTCGACGGTGACACCGAGGGGCGGGCGGTAGGCGCGGTGGCGGGCGAGCAGCGTGACCCCGGCGGCGAGGACGGCGAAGGCGACGATCGCGCAGGCGACGCGGGTGAGCGCCTTGCCGCCGATGGCGTCCAGGAAGAAGGCGCAGCAGCACGCCAGCCAGCACGCCTCGACGCACTCGTCGCAGACTCCGGGGTCGCCGCCGTCGGTCATCCCGGCAGATTATATGGCTTGTGAGCAGCAGAGCACACAGCGATCATGGGGGCGAGGACCCGAGGAATGGGATTGTGGATTGGTTACCGTATGCTATATCGCTGCAACGACGGAGCAGGCGATGAAATCGGATCGGCGTAACAGAGACCGCGTGCGGACGCCCACGCGGCGCAGCACCACTTTTCCCTTGTCAAACAAGGAACGTCCCTACTCCGTAGGTTTCGGATTCATTTTTACTATACTTCTCACTTTTATATGGCGCTGTAGAGATTTAAGACGGCATGCAAAACAGTTTAACTTCACTTGTCTAAAACTGACTTACAAAAGTGAGCAAAGGAAGTAATTTTCAGTGGACAGGATTTTGATTTCACTCTCAGTCGAATTGTGGTCCGATGGATCTTGCCCGAATCTCAGCGCGTGTCGTCCGTCCGTCCGTCGGGAAGGGGCTGGCTTGGGTTTTTGGGTGGCCTTTTGTTCACCTGGTTTAGGAATCCGACCCATCACCAACAATGAAAAATGGTTGGATTGCCAAACGAGGTGAACAAATGGCCACCCACTCCCTGGAAAGATGAAAAATGGATCGGATTCCCAAACCGCAGGAAAATGAGGCGGTCAATTACCCGGGGAGCGGGTCAGTTTGTTGTTGTCCCAGAGCCTTTGAAAAGGGAGGGGGAGGCGGTGGAGGAAGGCGAGATGTGGCGAGCAAGATAGGCAAGATGGAGCGGAGGCCAGGGGGGCTCCCCCACCGGCACGCCAAGAGTGAGTGGTCCACAGGGGTGAAACCATCGGGCAGCGCCAGCGATACATGTACGACGAGCTTCGTCCTTTTCCTCCCATCCGTGCCCTCCATCCTCCACTCAGTTCCTCGTCTCATACATGGATCGTCGTACCGGAGCACCAACGGCATCTACTCCCCTCATGTTTTTTTTTCTAAAATATGCATGAGTGTGCATATCATATATCATAGAAGAAAGGGATGAATAGACCCTCCACGAGGTTTAGAACCACATTTACAAGGCCCTCACTCCTCATGTTCATGTTGACTTGCAAACATATCCTTCCATTATTTTTTTATTTCTTTTTCTCGGATATGCTCCATGGGTGATTCACCACCTTGTTGATGCCCTTTGCACTTCGACCCAGTGAGCCGAATCGCGTGCCAGCTCGAGCTATGTGTGTGCATGCATACAAATTTGTTTGTACACAAATGTTCTTTGCTCTGTGTTGGGAAACTAGATGTACTTAAACGATTCAAGCGAGATTCGTGTGGTGGAATGTGTAAATGGGGCCCGGAAGTGTGATGTTTTCGCTACAGGGAGAGAATGGATTTTTGGGTTTCATTTTTTTGTCTACAGTACTTTGTTTCTCCACCATCTTCGGTATTTTGATCTTCCTTTTGCAGGCTAGATAAACAAAATAAGGTAAAAGTTATTAGGATTCAGTGTCTACATTACAATCCAGTGATTGTTCAGTCTACCATTTTTTCAGTTCATGGATGGATGTGGTACACATGCGCTGTAAAACGAAGTGGCATACTAATGCATCAATGTTTAAGCAAGGTTAGTCATTCAATGTTTAATTTTTCAAAAAAATCATTGTTCTCCTTTTTTTATTTCGATTCTATAATGATCATTTATAAGGTATAGTTTTTTTATTGTGTTTTTTCTACAAGGGCTGAATGTTAATTCATTGGTATGAATGACATTTAGAATGTAAGTTCTCAATCAATGTTTGTTCAGTTTTTCCCCGTTATTCCATTTGTCCATCATTTTGGTTTTGTATATGATTGTTTATTTGCTTAATTGGTTTTGAGTTATTTTTTTATTCTTTGATTTTTTTTCATGTGTTTGCCTTTAGTTTCCCTTCCTTTGTTTTTAGAATGCCCCTTTCTTCGTTGAATATTCAGTTGCTCAGTTTTTTCTTCATATAGTTTTCAGTTTCTCCACATGTCATACTTTATTACTTTAGTCTTCATTTTCTTTCCTCATTCGCACTTGTGCAATTACTTTTTAGTTTCTCGGGATTCATCCTTCATTCATCTGTCACTATTTTTCACTTTTTCTTTCCCTTATTCATTGTTATTTTGTTGTATGTTGTATCAAAGGGTGCTAGTTGTTCCTTAGTTAGTATGCCAGTACTTATCATCTAGCAGTAACTTATTTTCAGTACTTAACAATAGTCATTTATTCGTAATGGTACTAGAATTGTGTCATGGTTGAAACAGTACCATCTCTCCTTTTTTTCATGCTCTTTTATATAAACATTTTTTTAAATAGTTCCTTATATGATTTCCTTATTCTTTTATGCTGGCCACCATGTTTTTAGTTTACCCTTTTTGAGGTTCTATTGTCTATGTGTTCAACATACATATGGCAGATCAGGATTTTGACAGCAGAACAATTTTCGTGCATGGAAAAATAGAGTTTGCCTGAGGTAGCACGCAATCCTCGACCTCATGTTGGTTAGCCCCTATTCATTTTTCTTTTCATGGTAGTTTCTCATTTTCTTTGGCCCGTTTATCAATACAAAATGTTTCGTTTGGTGTTGCGGTGCAGGAGTATGAATACTCAGCGGACAATGTACATGTCCCATATCCTTTTTACTTGTCTTTCTTTGCATGTATTTCTCGTTAATTAACCCCTCATTTATCTCTTTCATCAATCTTTTTTTCATGGTAAATTACTATATGTGTTGCCATTTAAATGTTTGATGCCTTTTCCCCTTTTGTTCCCATGTTCTTTTTAGAACGTACCTTTCCATATGTTCGCATTGCAGAATATCCACAATGTGATGGCTTCATGGATCAACATCCCCATGAGACGACTTGTTGCATTAATGATGAGCGAAGGACAATATCCCATTCCACTGCAACAACCAAATGAACCATATCTTGTTGTTTTTGTGTTCTCTAGATCATTTTTATTGGAGCCGTGCTTGCGGACCACCCCTAGCGGATGTTGTTTGTCAAATTTTATATCTAAACCCACATCTCTTTTTTTTACTATACATAGTAGGGCAAAACCCCACTGCAATTTTTATTAAATAGAAAGACAGAAAACAAAAGGTTCCACTGTACAAGAGGCTTGAGATAAGGAAGAAGAAAAGAAAAAGAAACAAAACTAGGGAGGGAAAACTAGAGTCTATAGCTACAACACAAGATTGTCAAGCCAAGAACAGCAGTATCCAGCATAACTCTTATTAATTCTAAATCTTAGAAGATTGAGCTCCTCCAGGAAAATAACTTTCCATCTCTGGATGCTAGGTTGAACTGCTTGGAAGATCAAATTATTCCTTGAGATCTAGATAGCCCAAGAAGCAAGGATGATTATTTCCATGAAGAAAGGTACATGTAGCTTCTGTTTGAGATCAAGAAAAGCTTCCAAAATTGAAACATTTGCCTGTCTTGAAGGGCAAATCAGGTCCCAACATTGAGCTGCAAAAGGACAGGTCCAGAAAAGATGCTGCAGAGTTTCTTCCTGTGGACAATTGTTGACAGCACAATTGTAGTTGGCTAAATGAAAAGTTTTCCTTCTCAAAAGATTTCTAGTATTGAGCCTGTCATGAAGCAATCTCCAAAAAAACTGTTGGGGAACGCAGTAATTTCGAAAATTTTCCTACGCACACGTAAGATCATGGTGATGCACAGCAACGAGAGGGGAGAGTGTTGTCTACGTACCAACGCAGACCGACTGCGGAAGCGATCACACAACGTAGAGGAAGTAGTCGTACGTCTTCTTTCCGATCCGACCAATCCAAGCACCGTTACTCCGGCACCTCCGAGTTCTTAGCACACGTTCAGCTCGATGACGATCCCCGGGCTCCGATCCAGCAAAGCTTCGGGGAGGAGTTCCGTCAGCACGACGGCGTGGTGACGATCTTGATGTACTACCGACGCAGGGCTTCGCCTAAGCACTACAACGGTATGATCGAGGTGGAATTTGGTGGCAGGGGGCACCACACACGGCTAAGGAACGATCTCAAGGATCAACTTGTGTGTCTTGGGGTGCCCCCTGCCCCCGTATATAAAGGAGCAAGGGAGGAGGGGCTGGCCGGCCAAGGTGGGGGCGCAGGAGAGTCCTACTCCCACCGGGAGTAGGACTCCCCCTCCAATCCTAGTCCAACTAGGATTCCCGGGAGGGGGAAAGAGGAGGAGGTGGCCGGCCCCCCCTTTCCTACTCCTAGTAGGACTAGGGGAGGGGGGAGGGCGCGCAGCCCATCTAGGGCAGCCCCTTCTCCTTTCCACTAAGGCCCATTATGGCCCATCTAGCTCCCGGGGGGTTCCGGTAACCCTCCCGGTATTCCGGTAAAATCCCGATTTCACCCGGAACACTTCCGATGTCCAAACATAGGCTTCCAATATATCAATCTTTACGTCTCGACCATTTCGAGACTCCTCGTCATGTCCGTGATCACATCCGGGACTCCGAACAACCTTCGGTACATCAAAATGCATAAACTCATAATAACTGTCATCGTAACGTTAAGCGTGCGGACCCTACGGTTCGAGAACAATGTAGACATGACCGAGACACGTCTCCGGTCAATAACCAATAGCGGGACCTGGATGCCCATATTGGCTCCTACATATTCTACGAAGATCTTTATCGGTCAGACCGCATAACAACATACGTTGTTCCCTTTGTCATCGGTATGTTACTTGCCCGAGATTCGATCGTCGGTATCCAATACCTAGTTCAATCTCGTTACTGGCAAGTCTCTTTACTCGTTCCGTAATACATCATCTCACAACTAACATATTAGTTGCAGTGCTTGCAAGGCTTTATGTGATGTGCATTACCGAGAGGGCCCAGAGATACCTCTCCGACAATCGGAGTGACAAACCCTAATCTCGAAATACGCCAACCCAACATCTACCATTGGAGACACCTGTAGTACTCCTTTATAATCACCCAGTTACGTTGTGACGTTTGGTAGTACCCAAAGTGTTCCTCCGGTAAACGGGAGTTGCATAATCTCATAGTTATAGGAACATGTATAAG